GGCTGTCGAAATATCTGAGAAAACACTAAATACTGCCTGCTCAACCCTTGTTTGCAGCCATCCCTCTCCCACTCCCTCCTTTCACCCCTGCAGTCCATGGTTCCCTGTGTTGGGCAAGCGCTCGCTCATCTCTAACGGATGAATCAACCCCTCTGTTGCGTAAAGACGCGTTATTTCATGGTGCAGTGGTCCGAGGCCTGAGAAATCTGCTATTGTGGGTCTGCGTTTTCCCGCTGCTGTGGTTTTGAGTAAACCCCAGCATCAGCACCTCAGGTCCCAACTTGTTGGAAATTCTGGACTCTTGTTCTCATACCCAAACAGGAGTTACTTAAACCAGAACCGATACAGAGGAGAGAAAGAGGCGATGGAGGGGAAACCAAAGTGATGGTGGGGCATTAGTGGAAGTCTTGGACCATCAGCTACCAAAAACCAGCTGGGGAGTAGGGAGGACATGGAAGATGGTTTTTATGAATGGCTTTTTCTTCTTTCTGTGAAAAGTGCCTACGTTTCACCCTGATTCAGACTGACAACAAATGACGAAATATCAGAATATGATCTGGGAGGGAGTGACCGTTGGCTGTGACGACACAAAACCTGAGTCGGCGATTTTCTCAGGGCTTCACCTACACAGATTTTGGGGCTGTTTCCTGACTCATGGGGTGACCTTGTCTCTACACGGTGTGAAGCCTGTTCCCAGGCTGCCCTCCCCACATCTGTTGTCTTCCCCCTCCGATATCTCTTACTCACAAGGAAATTCAGTGCTTGGGATCTGGGCTTACGGCGTTGCTCACAGCCAACTCCCTTTGCTCTTATTCTGCCTTGCTTCCAGGAAAAGTCAAATAGTGCATTTCTCTGGTGAAAAACATGCTGACTTGACTCGTGTGCTGTATGGTAGCACCGTACGCATGGGTGTTTATCCCAGAGCCCACAAGATGCTTCAAAGTCACTTTCAGTGTCTCATCTGGATGCCCATAACTTTCCAGGGATGGATGTGCTTCTCTCTTTGGGATTGCCCAGGTTTTATCTCCTTTGCAGATGGCTATGGAGGGTGATTTGCAGATGCCAGTCATCAATTTTTGCCTTTCAGCCATGCTTTTTTTTTTCTCCCCTATTTCCCTCTCTATTCTTCCACTGTTTCATTACACACCCTGGAACAAAGCTAAAATAACTGTTCTGGGTGTGTTTCAGCTACCGTGCGTAACAAAAAGCAGCAGTTTCTAGGAGAGAGGAGCTTCTGTGACTAAGCTGCTGCCCTAGAACCCTATAAAGATTTTATGGGTAGCAATTAACAATCAGCTCCCTCCGTGCATTGCAAATTCAAGCCCCTGAGTGCAAGCGCCATTCGTTCCATGATGACTAAGGTTTTAATCTGGGCTGTGCTAGAATTAACGAGGGCTGTCCTCTCCCACTGAAATACAAGCCCCAGGCCATCCTTCCATCTGTTGAACTTGCCCAACAGGACTGGATGCAGAAGGTAACCTATGGGGTGACCAGAGCATTGCTCTGGAGTGAGGACAGCTGAGCATTGGTCATGTATTCAGAGATGTGAACCTTTGCCAGGATGGGGTTTTTTGTATCTTGCTTAAAAAGGGATGCCCTTGGAGAACAAATATCGTGGCCTCAACCTTTCCCATGCTAGATGAAGGGCTTTGTAATCTCTGTTATGACCCAGGTGTGGATGCAATGGATGGCATCCATCTAGCGTGCCTCTTGGCCATATATATTACATCTTTGGTTAGCGAGTGTGTTTGGGGAGCAGTGAGAAAGGTCATTATTTAACCTTGCCCTCACTGCTATTCGGAGTGAGGATATTGCTCCTTCCCTGGAAGATGCTGTGGGTATTCAGCAGGGAGAGGTGATGGGGCAGGAATGGAAAGCAGCAGCAGACCCATAAGCAAACCTGCAAGTCTTTGGAAAGGAGATTTCCCGAGGGATACAGAGAAGAACATGCAAAGTACAGAGCAATAGGAAATTATAAGAAACTGCTGGTCTTGGAGGAAAACCTGAATACTGCCTGTCATTCAGGCACTGCCCATTCCCCTCTATTTGCCCATCTCTTTGAGTATTTTCCTAAGAGTGCTTATCTACCCATTCCTTGCACTTATTAAAATAGATGGTGGGTTGTTTTTTTCTAATCACGTCTATTTGTTCAACTGATTATTATTAATCAATAATTGATTATTATAATAATTGATTATAATAATAATAATGATCTTCC